TGGGTTTCACCTAGGGATGACGGCTGAATTCCAACAACAACACACAGAGCAAGAGTGAGGCAAACGTTCTATCTCCTTTTATGGCCCAGCCTGTAAAATCATGCAGTATTATTCAGTCACATTTCACTAATCAGAACAAAATCACTAGTGCTAGCCCATACATAAAAGAAAAGAAATTTAGACTCCACCTCTTAAAGTGTCAAAGAAGTTGCAGACATTACACACAACAAATGTTAATTAGAGACGTTTTAAGCATTTACTACATTTTGAAAAAGTCTAGAAAAAGAAAACAAATAGGGCAGTCTTAAAATATCTGAGTAGAAGCTGATAAGGACCTTAGAGTAAATTAGCATATGCATAATACTATACATGGCTGTTTGTTGTACAAGGGAATGTTTTCAATCTGCTCTCAGCATCTCTTTTTAGGATATAAAACTGAGCTATTGAGTTCAGGAAGGTATAATAGATCCATGATTCTCCTACTTTAAAATGAAGACCTAGCTACAGTGTATATTCTGGTCAGAGGTGGCCCTAGCAGTCTGAATTTTAAGTGAGTTCCAGGTGATGTCACAGATTCTGGGATTTGCAAGTTAGAAGAAAGGAAGGAAGTTTCCTTGGTTCCTGTGACCCCTCCCATCTCCCATGTCACTAGAGATCCTTATGTGCTCACATGTTCTTAGCCATCTGACCAAATGTGAGGTTAATCACTTTCCACACAATCCCATAACTAGTATTAAAAGAAGACAGTAATTATTCTCTTTTTATAGTAGAAGCATAACCTATGAGGTTATGTAGCAATCAACCATGTGCAAAAGACAGTTTCCAGGAGGGATTATGGACTAGTAGAAAGAAGAGAATCCACTTCTGATGAGACATGGACCAAGCCCCTGCCAACAAGATTACATGAGATATCATAATACCTCCACAGCAAACTCACCAGTTGGACTAATTTGTTTTAGTGAGTTTTTATATTTTGAAACACAGGCTAAGGAGAACAAATGCCTTCTTGAAACACGGAATCCACTGTGTGGGAGCACAATATAATGATCCGTACTGTCCAATGAATCAAGCTATAGACTGTTTCCAACAGAATGGGGAAGGGTGTGGACAGAGAAGACACTAGAAAACTACAGACAGAAAAATAAATCTCAGGGAAAATTGGGGAATGCTTCAATTTACCTAACACAGGGGCAGGGGCAGGGGGAGTGGGGTGTGGAATCCAGAAAAGGAAAGGAAATCTAGATTGTAACTGCTGGATAATGCTGAACTAAAATGGAAATAAACTGTCATACAAAAATGATGTTGGAACACAGACATGAACAATGCAATCAAGAAGTTATTGCTCTTGAAAGACAGACTAGCCAGTAGGCCTCCATGATACAGTCCACCAGGCAGGAAGGCTTCTGCTCTTCAAAGACTACAACGACCATTTCCTGTGACAGACTGGAGTACTATCTATATAAAGTGTACATCTGCATCCTCAAGTCATTTTAGCCAAAGCAGAACATGGGTCCTATGACTGCCAGAAGATGACTCTATGGCACAGGATATATCTCAAGTCAATCCGAAAGATCCCTTATAAGCAGCATGGGTGAGACAAAACAACAGTGTCATCTTTGCATGTTTAAAGTTCATGAATTTTTAATAACCGATTTCTTAGTTACATCTTCTTCTATGTCAATCCCATGATTCTGCATCAACAAAGTTAAATTAAGCTAAATACCTTACAATATAGTTCTATAACAGTAAATTTTTTTTGCATCCAAAGGTGGGGAAAATATGAACAGCCTGGTCACCACCAAAGTGTGTTGTGCACAAACTGAAAGGCTTCCCTACCTACAAACATCAAGGGAACATAAAGGTATGGTAGGTAGTACCAAATTGCTTCCTTAACGATAAATGCCCTCAGGTTTGAGATGTGACAGTGAAGTAATGAAATGAGTCCCACAAAGCAAAAGTGGATACTGATCTCATTATTTTAGTCATTCCTAGTGATAAAATATTTCACAATTTAAAACAGTATCTACTACAAATGGCTGAATTTTAATAAAAACTACACAAGATAGCTCTAGCTTAATGCAGCATTTTTTTTGTAAGCATTTCAGGAACACGTGAGTCAGAATTCCAAGTGATGGTTCCCACAGTAACTGTAATTCTGCCACGCAGCATGCATCGTGGGAAAGCGTTCCCAACATACACTGTACTAGAAAATACTCAGTAAGCAGAAACAAGCTAAGTTACACTTGTCATGGGAGTCATCGTTTCCATCCAGCTGAGAATATACAAAAATTGAAACCATAGATACGAGCATTATTTTGTATTTAATTCAGTTTTTCCTTGATCCAGTTTAATCAGCTTTGCATCCAAACTACATTTTCCTTTCATAAGCTGCAAATGAATGTCTTTTGTAATTTTAAAATACATATCATTTGGTTTTCTCACTCAGGCTGCCTTTGTAGAACGGCATCATTATACCCTGTCCCTTCCTAAAATGTCAGAACATGTCTGCTGGGGGCCATTTGTACACATTCCTGTGCTCCCCGAAGAACACCAAGGGGGAGGAGAACAAGAATACCAAGAACAAGAGATGCACTGAGTAGCTGAGATAGTAAAGTAAGTGCAACAAAAAGAGGGACACTGTCATCATTAATTTCTCCCGTGGGCATCTCCCTACACAGATGTAAGAATGATAGCAGCATGTATTTACCAGTTCCAATGTGCTTTGCCATAACATTAGCTCATAGAATTCTCACTGTAACACTCAGACTAAAGCAAAAAGAAAAACAAACAAACAACAACAACAACAAAAAAGCAAACAACTTGCTATTGTTCAGAGCTTTGTGACCCAAGGAGAATATATTTAAGGATGTGCTTTAATGTTATCATTAAAACTCCACGCTATTTAATTGCACTTACATTATTCCCCAACTATACTCACACATGCAGAGGATTTGCTTATTATTGAAGGCAGAATATACTTCACATGAAAAGATTACAGTCATGAGCTAGCTAACCATTTAACATATCTTAAACCTTTTACTGTAACTATATTCTGAACATTCTATAATGAAGAGAGGAAAATAATTGCCCTTTGAAACTCTGCATAGGCAAAATTAATCCTGTATATTATAGCCAGCATTACTTTTCCCAGTTTTGCTTTAACTAAGAAGGGCACCTTGTACAATCTCCAAAGAAAAATCCTCTTACTGTCTAGGGGTCCTTACCATGAGGGTATGCTTCATTTTATTCTAGCTAAATTACTTTGGCTCAAGAACAATCGTAATTCCTTTACTTCTCTAAATAGCTCCACTCTATCATGTTATTCATATCCTTATATTGCTGTCTGAAGATCAACCAGGACAATCTTTTCTGTCTCCTAATTCTACTAGGACCAGGTAATTCAAATATGTACAAAAGATTTCTCCTTATACAATCAGATAAAATCATCTTTCATTTATACGAGACATATTCATAAAGTGGAGGCAAAATGCACATCACCTTCTAGTATGGTGCAATAAAAAGAGCAACTCAAGTAAAGACCCAGAAAGAGTGAAAGTTTTCACAGCATTAGCTCATCTGGGAGAATAACACATTCAACCTAAGTAATATTAATATTACTTTAAGAAAGTTGTTCTTCATGTTATCTACCATTTTAAGACAAATATCTACAAGAAATAAATGTGGCCACATAAACCAGGTAAAATACACATACAGGTGTTCCCCAGGATAGGAGGGGCAAGAGTACTGAGCATGCAGGTTGTTCCCTCTTCATAAACAAATGTTTAGGAAGAAATCACAAGTAGAAAACATAATCTCAATAGCATTTCCATAATTCTCAATGCAAAGATGTAAAGATGGCTGTTAGGCTTAATAATGGGATCTAAGTTCTTGTGTCTTATGAAAGACCAGGAAAGGAACTTAATACCTCATGTGACCCATTAGCCAGATATGAAGACAGGGAAGTAAAAGTTCAGATCCTTCCAGTGGGCAAATTACCTTAAACACAGCAAAGTAAAAGTTTTTATTAATTATTTCAAGGGGGAAACTGAGAAGGAGGTGATCAATTCCAGAGAATAACAGAATACACAGAAATTGAAAATAATGGGGTATGTTTCTGTTGGGCAATCAATATGTATAATTCCCAAAGTCCTACAGTGTCACCAGTAAACTGATTGCAAATAAGGTCCTGGAGACTGTCAGTATTCTACATTAAGGAATCAATTTGCTAGTCTTAAAAATAAAGCTGCATAATTTTATGAATGGCTGAAAGTAAATTATTAATTCCTTCATACATGAAAAAATGGATTCAAGGAAAAGTTTCGGAGCCCAGCACAATGACTCATTGGTTAAATCCTCACCTTGCATCCATATGGGTACTGTTTTGTGTTTTGGCTGTTCCACCTCCCATCCAGTTCCCTGGTTATGGCCTAGGAAAGCAGTAAAGGAAGGCCAAAGGCCTTGGGACTCTGCACCTGTGTGGAAGACCTACAAGAAGCTCCTGGTTTGTTGTTTTGGAAGGGCTCAGCTCCAGCCACCATAGCCTTTTGGGGAGTGAACCTGTGAATGATCTTTCTCTGTCTCTTCTTCTCCACAAATCTTTTTATTAAAAATAAATGAAAAAGGAAAAGCTTGGGAACAAGGTCAGCAGTCCAACAATTCAAGGTTGTCCTATGAATTATCACACACTCATACAATGGACACTATTATGTCTAATGAGAGAGAAACAATAATATTGTAAAATGAGAAGGCTAAGTTACAACAGTGTTTTTCTTCAGGATTTCTATTTTGGAAAATATATGCAAAATAAAGAAACCCATAACATTATTAAAGAAGCTATTTTTGTCTGAGAATTTCATGCCTTCACAAGTTTTTTCTTTCTTAAATAAACAGAGGATAAAGGAAAATTGTTAAACTAAAAAATCAGTACATTCCAAATTCTTTGCCTCATTTGTTTTTACAACATGCAAAAGTGAAATACAATTAGCACAATTAAGCTGTTGTATTTTTTGTTATTAATAGTTTATTCACATTCAATTTCTTTATACTTTTCTCTCACACAAAGAGCAATATATCTTTAACGTTATATGACAGATATTTTATCCAAGGTTTCATTCTTTGGTGCCTTCTTCTTTGTGTATCAAAGTCTAAAAAATGAACTTCATGTGCTTGATTCCGTAAGTTTTGAAGAAAACCATAATAATGAGCGCCCACAATCCCAGAATAAAACCTCCAGGAGGATGCCAATCCTTCAACTTTGGTTTCTGCAAAACAAGAGTAAACACAGGTAAATAACTCAGTAATGGAGAGAGCAACAGAAAACAGAAAACTGGTTGTGTTTTAATTTAGTCAAAGTACATGTATCAGAATAACAACGATAAAGACTTTTCAACGGTGCAAAAATCCCACAGGGCACACTGCAGCCTGACAAAGATCCTTTTCAGCTTAGTTATCTCAAGGGGGCCTTCTCTGACCATCTAGCCCACCATGTGTCCTCATCTAAATTACTCAGTAGTTCATGCATCCTCCTCACTTTGAATTTGTATACTCATCAACTGGAGTCAGTTTTATCCATCTGTACTACCAGATCATAACTATTAGGTACAACATAGCAAAGAACGAGGCACACAGGAGACCTCATGTACCATCCTAAGTAAATCAATAAAAGAACAAATGCGACCCACTTCCATTCATTTAGTTATCCAACAAATACAGGGGCAGTGCCTATGCCCACAAGTAACTAACTGAAACACGACTCCTCTCGATTTTCCTCAATTGTTATATTATTTTCTTTGAAATTTCTTAGTGTCTTATATGTGATTTCTTCCTCTGTCAATCTTTAAGATTGATTTATCTATTTATTGATTGATTAGAAAAGCAGAATTAGACTAAAGGAGAGACAGAGACAGACACAGAGAGATGTTCCATCATTTATTCACTCCCCAAATGGCTGTAACAGCCAGAGATGAGCTGGGCTGATCCAAAGCCAGGAGCCAGGAGACCCCTCTGGGTCTCCTCTAGAGTGAAGGGTCCTAAGAACTTCAGCCATCCTCTCTGCTGCTTTGCCAGGTCATAAGCAGGGAGCTGGATCAGAAGAGGAGCAGCTGGGAGTCAAGCTGGAACCCATATGCCCACTTCTGTCACTCTCAAGTTGTCTTACTTAGTTTTCTCAAAACTTCCCGGGATCCAAGTTCATTGAAGTCCATTTGAGTCCCTTTGAATTCCTTTCTCCGCTCCACCCCAATCCCTGACAACACCCAGCAAAATGCTTTGAATGTTTTCTAATTCAGAAGGACCAGGTTTCCTACATTGTGGTCTTGTATTGGAAGACTTGTGACTATGACCTCTTTAGGAATCAACTTATTAGTCTTTAATACCGTAAGATATTTATGAGAAAAGAATATTTCAAAGTAGATGAAAAGAATAGAAATTAACACAAAATTCCCTTTAGTTAGTGTGTTCAACTACATTAATTCAAAATTAATTTGTCAAACTAAAAAGAGAGAGGGCACCTTCATATTTTAATTTGGATCATGACGCTAGACTTATAGGAACTTTGAAGCAAATACCTCACATGGTCTGAACTAGCAATATTTTTTTATTACGTTTCTATTCTATCTTCCCATACCTATCTTCACCCTCTACTCCCGCTTTCAGAATCCTCCCCAAATATTGCCTAAATATATGAAATCTGATTTTCCTTATTACTTTCCACTCAAAAGTCTGAAATAGCTTCTGATCACATACATAATGACAAAAAATTTTGCTCTCTGGTAACTTATAAGAAGATAATTTAGTGGTTCTCAAACAAGTTAAACAGCAAAACTCTTGGTAATCACAATGCCCTTTATGCAAAACTATGACAAGTTCTAATTTACTTCTACTAGAAATTCTAGACTATAAACATAGCTATATTAAAGGTAATTAATGTAAAGTACTGATATCACAAGCATGTATCAATGAAAACACAGGTAGGTGAACCAAAACGACTGACTACTACTGGGGTTTATTTCACTTGTTTTCCACAAGTTAATATAAAATGGAGAAAAGGCTTAAATCTAAAAAAAAAAAAATTATATGATTCAAGAAAACATGTCATTATTCACAACCAGCAGCAGCATACCTTTCACAATAGCCTGCAGATGTTCCCTGGGTGCCCAGTTTGTAAGCATTGCTCAGTTAGAAAGAAGATCCTGATGTATTCTCTCTCTCTCTCTCTCGCTCATGCCCCCCACATACACACAAATTAGATTACAGCAGAAAAGTTAAATAAATATTGCCAATATTTAACATTAAATGTTTACCTAAGCAGAATAGGCTATAGACAATTGTGCATGAACCAAATCAATGAATATCAGTGGTAAAGGGTTCAGAAGGTGTTTGAAGCAAGTTATGCTAAAACTATAAAAAGGTGATCATTTGGATTCTATCATTCATTAGAGTGGACAAAACAAACAAGTAGTTAATACTAAATCTCATTTCTAAAGCTTTAAGAATTGAAGTAACACTCTTATAAGGTGGGTTTCCTGAGGCTGTAATTTTACCATTACATATTTTTTTCAGATTTATTTTTATTGGAAAGGCAGATTTACAGAGAGATACAGAGAAACAGAGAGAAAGATCTTCCATCTGCTTGTTCACTCCCTGAGTGGCCACAAAGGTTGTAGCTGAGCTGAGCTGAAGCCAGGAGCTAACAGCTACTTCTGGGTTTCCCACATGGGTGCAGGGTCTAAAGTTTGGGCCATCCTCCACTGCTTTCCCAGGCCATAAGTAAGGAAGTAAATGGGAAGTAGAGCAGCCAGGAAAATGCCCAGCGCCTATATGGGATCCTGGCAGATGCAAGGGGAGGATTTACCCACTGAACCATCATACTAGGCCCACCATTAGATCTTAAACTTAGCACCCAGAGACACTTGCCAGAGATAAGACAACTAAGGACAAAATATCATCTTTGAAAGTAACTATCATTTCTCCAAGCAATCAACAATTAGCCCAGGCAGCTATTTTCATCTGTCCCCTCTATAGCAGGCCAAGAGAGGATTCTGGTGGCACTGCTTTCCTCTGATCCTTTGACCTACTGTTCCGGAATGCAATCCCACATCTAAATGATGACACCCAAAACAGGGTTGGAGAGAAAAGCAAAGCACTAGAGCTACAGCTCTCAACAGTACACTGTGAAAACAGTAATGAAAGATTTTATATGATATATGAACTCACGCAGGCACAAACACACAGAATTATTCAGCAAATAAGATAAATTTTCATTATTTGATGATTACTATTTTAATATCAACCAACTCTACAAAGTCAACTTGTAAGTACTGAGAATAAAGTTTAAATCTTAGATCTGAGTCAAATGTAAACAGTTCAAGTTTTTAATCATTAAATCTAAAATGGAACCAAAAATTTTAATTATTTGATGATTATTTTAGTATCAACCAACTCTACAAAGTCAACTTGTAAGTACTGAGAATAAAATTTAAATCTCAGATCTGAGACAAATGTAAAAAGTTCAAGTTTTCAATCATTAAACTCAAAATGGAACCAAAAAATAAAAAATAATTAACAAAAACAAGAACAATCCTAATTTGGAACACCCACACATGCGAAGATAAGCAATTCACATTACTCTGCAGAGGGGATCAAACAGCCAAGAATAAATTTAAAAACAATGCTAAAACAGCAATGTTTTAATGTTAGAAAGGAGAAAAAATAAAAAGTAAGCCATCAGTCCAATATTTGAGAATTTAGTATATGATCAGAGCTATGACAAATCAGTATGCAAAAGAGTACTATCTTACTGATTTTCTAACAGTGGAATTATTTTTTTTTGGAAAAAGAAATTACAAACATGATAAACCAAGACATTGTATATGGTTTACAATTAAATGCTAAAATAGAAGAGGGAAAACATAAAATTTAGGAAAATGTACACAGCAGGATGATTTATAAATGTAACAGCAGTGAATTAAAACAAGAAATAAAAGCTGGAGAAAGGGGTGTGCAGTTGACAGTAGTCACAAGAAGCCACATGCCAAGACTGTACGCACATCTGAGTGTCTGACTGGAGTTCCAGCTTCCTGACACCCTGCTAATGCAAACCCTGGATGGCAGAAGACAAGGACTCAACTACCGGAGCCCCTGCCACCAACACAGAAGATCCCAGATTGAATTCTGAGCTCCTGGTTTCAATGGCCCTGTCCTGGCTAGTGTGAGCGTTTGTGAAATAAACCAGCAAATAAAAGATCTCTGAGTTTCAAATAAAATAAGAAATAAGAGAATGTTTTAAAAAGAGAAGACAAAATAATTCTTAAAAGAATGTTCTGAAAGATCTATATTTCACGAACTCTAAATCTAAATGACAACTAAATTGGAGAATACAAAAGAAATGCAAATTCTGTACATAGCGCTCTTCCAAAAATAAATAAGACATCAAAAATTTGTCAAGAAATAAGACATTAAAATGAAAAATTTCCCAAAAGAATTATACATGGCCAAGTAATGCTTGAAAAAAATTCAACTAACTGCAAAATTAGATAATTATGAACTACAAAAAGCAGCACATCAGGGCTGGCACTGTGAGGCAGTGTAAAAGCCCCATACAGCCGCGGTTCATCTCCTAGCTGCTCTACTTCCAATCCAGCTCCCTGCCAATGGCCTGAGAAAATCACAATCACACCAGAGCCAGGGCCCTGTCCCCAATATGGGAGAGTCAAACGAAACACTTGGCTCCTGACTTAGGCCAGGTTCAAACTTGCGATTACACTCACTATGGGAATGAACCAGATGGATGAAAGATCCCTCTGACACTCCACAAATAAGTAAATAAATCGTTTTAAAAAGCATAGTTAACTACTAGTTCCTCTCTAAAATTAAAATAAGAAATGTTAATGAAGACAGTCAATTTTTCAGAAGAATAATCCACTACCATGGTCAGAAGTTGCTTTCTTCTCATTCCTAAGATTTGTAATATTCCCAGGATCTGTATTAAGGAATTCACAAATGCTTACAAAGCATTTTGTAAAGATTTTCTTTTTAGATTCTACACAAATAACAGTAATCTCAATAATATTGTATATTGTGGGCATCTAACCCCAGCAGTTTAAGACATCAGTTAAGACACTTGCAACCTATAATAGTCTAGGTTTGAGTCCTAGCTTCAGCGCCAGTTCTCACCTTCAGCTCCCTGCTGATGTTCACCAGGAAGAGCAACAGGTGCAAGGTCAAGTTGTTGGGTTCCTGTCACCCATGTGGGAGACATGCA